GGATTGTAAAGGAAATATAAACAAGCACGAAGAAGATTGTAGGTAGCGCAAGAATCTGTGGGCTCACTAGCGCCCTCTGCCTTGAGGCAGGCGTACTGTTTGCCTCACCGAGTAACGTTTTTACTGGGTTTTATGGTTAATCTGGAGCCTAAACACGTTACAGAACTACATTTTATACATTATCCAGATTATAGCAAGGCAGCGCATATAATCAGAGTGTTTGAAAGCATTTTATTTGTGATATATAGAGGGACAGCGACACACTATTTGCATCGCATACAGGATTACACGATCCACCGAGAGGCACAGCAAAGGGCTGCCTCATCGCACATCTCCTCCATGTATTTGAACAGGACATACGGAAATTCTGCTATTCTTTATTGAAAAAAAAATCCTTCAACATGGGATTCAAATGGCAAAAGGGCCTACAACACACACCAGCCGACAAATATTAACATGTATTATATTTTATGGTTAACTTTTTTTTCCTTTTCAAGATTGACAGGGGAGGCTCTGCCTCACCTGCCTTCCCTGACCGCAAGTCACTGGTAGCATGTGTCCCTCAACATCATCTTTATTATTAGCCTCATCAGGTCCTATAATTTTTTTTGGTTTTATTTATTATTCACATTTTTCTTTCATTTTAAGTCATGCATCATTTCCATGTCCCACTCTGACAAATGGCAGTTTTTGAAAGTTTAACCAGTGGCATTGTTAACATTTAATGAACTCTTCTTTAAGACTTTACTTTATACTTTTTTTCAATAATATGTTAGTAATAAAAACAACTCATAGGTTGATCATCTCTTTAGCTGCTTTATATTACTGTCAAGTGAAGCTGCTGTGTAGCTGCTCCTCTGTAATTTATCATAAACACCCTTCAACCCAGTTAGGGTCTTGCATTAAGAGCAAAGTAAAAATAAAGTTCAAGTTTTGCTTGGGTAAGCCATAGAACATGCAGACTTTCTCAATCACATCTGGCCACCCAAGTTTGCACAGACTTAAAGGAAAACTTGCTCACATTTTATATTCTTATGTACTGTACTGATGTAGGAGTTATGTCAGTCTCCTCATCTAACTCCTGACATGAAAGTGAATGAATGAATGTCACTTTCAGCTTTTTCCCATCAGGGGTCAGCACAGCATGTTGACATTTGGAACACGTTTTACGCTGGATGCCCTTCCAGACGCAATCCTGACTCAAACCCAGGTCACAGCAGTGAGAATGCTATACCCTAACCACTATCAGGGAACCAACTCCTGACATGAAAGTAAACAAACATATTTTTCTACACTTTGAACTATTGTTTAAATAGTCATGATTTATTGCTGACTGAAATAATACAAAATTTTAAGTACTACATAAAGTCCCCTGTCATAAGACATTCAAATGCTGACAGGGCAAAAGATCCTCAGATGAAGAAGTTGTATTAAATGGCAAAAGGTGACTAAATGTGAAATAAACCTGTTTGCAGCTAAACTGGACTCACCAGATTTTTTTCATTAAAACTTTTGGATTCAAGTTGACAAAGGCTTTGATACAATATTTGTCTAAACCCTGCATTAATCTTTTGGTTCATCTTATAAAACCTTTATTAATTATGCCTTGTTTCAGTGTATATTGTTTTGTGTGTGATTTTGACCTTTAGACACCCCGAGACCTCCAGACTGGATGAGAAGCAACAGAAGAGACCAGGTCCAAACTCTGCTGTTCTCAGGAGGTGGCAGTGCTGATGGTGCTGTGGCCTTCTGGCTTCATCCTGCAAAGCCCTCCTTCATCATGTCTTTACTGCAGCCCAGCAACATGGCAGAAAAGCTCTTTATGAAGACCAAGGACCATCAGACATAATCTTCTGCCACCTCTGGGATGAAATGGTCAGTTTATATATGTTCAAGCTATGTTTGTGAAGGAGCATGACCCAAAAATATTTTGACTTGTTGAATATAAATTTAGCATAGTTTATTTAGGACACCAGAGTGTTCAGATACAGTGATAAATAGTCAAATTTAGATCTGATTGAATTTTGCTAGAAATGTAGTTTTACATGTGAAAATTTAAACGTTGAATAATATTGACACAGACTTAACAGAGGAGCAAAGAAGTTTGCTGACTAGCCATTTCATTTAGATCGTATACATTTATTATTCTGTAACAAAATCAACAAGTGTATATTATTTAAAGA